TGGATCTCCTTCCTCTTTGTGTTTGTATCTTATGAATGCTTTTCGATATATAATACAGCGTTATTACAAAATAAATGCCGAAAGCATCCGAGCCTAGTGATCACTGCTCTAGCCACTCAGACTGTTATGTTCGCATTGAATTTTACTAAAAACATCATAAAATACTTCAAAACACTAACACATTGAAGATCAACGCCAAAATTGGTATCAGCGCAATGCAAATTTGTCGAATTACACTCAACATGATGAAAACGGGTTGACCTTCTGGTAGCAAATAAACATGGAAGAAGTCGAAAAAATTTGAGAATGCCATGAATGTGAACAGTGCAATCGAATTCAGTAGAATGCGCATTTCAGCCGACGATACGGCTTGGGTGCCAACGGATCTCTTCTGCAATCAATTTGCGATGAAAGTGCTACTAAATTGTCCGTCCCACTTCTAGAATTATACTGATTTATTCAGCACATTCAAAAATGATTTCTTTATTGTTCGTACTTTTGTAGGAGAATTCTATGTTCATGGTTTTTTTGCTCATTTATCTGTATATGTTGTTCATTGTTTCGTTCAAAACAACAATTAAGCATCTGATAACACTCATCAAGATCAGTGATAAGCGACTTTCTGCTGACAGAGTTTTTAGATTCCCCTTCAAAGCCCATGATGAGATTGCTCACGAAACATGATGATATTGCCACTGTTAGATAGGAAGTGATAAATATATAATGGACAAAATAACATTATGAAAGTAATAACAGTGTTGCCGTCAAATAATAACATTCTATTAGCACCGGCAATGACTGACTACAACGATAATAGCAATACTCCAATAATTATTATGACAAGAGTAGTAGGTGTTTGTGATAATGGATTGTAGATGTCGAGCATGAAGCATGAATTTTGCATGTGTTATTTCCTCGGAGAAAAGTGAAAGTATTAATTAAGTTTAATTGATTTGAGCTTTTTCAACTAGACGGACACGATGCACAATAAGACCGCTTATTACCCGAAAGAATACAATTTCTCTGATAAATTTTGAGTGTGTTCACAGGATTGAATTGGATTTAATGTGTCTCAAAGAAGAAGAACTTTGTGAAATGCTAGCTCGCATTCACTAACATAGGATGTCGATAATTCTTTAAGTACTTTCAAAATGACAATAGCAAACGTATTTAGAGAAAATCCAGATGCAATCGTCATCATATCAAATTTGCTCTATTCAGTAAATTATTAGGTGCAACAAATTTTAGGATGAAAATAATAATTCAGTGTATTATTGAAGCTTGAAAATATTGTGGTGCTAGTAGGTTGAATGAAGTATGAAATCGTTCACGTATCTGCACGAATTGAAAATGCAATCGATTCAAAATGAAAACAATAAATTGGTATAAATGATAGTCTAAATAGAAGCAACCTTGCGTTGAATAGCAACCAAAATGATCACATAGTTGATGAAGCTTAGCAGTGAGAGCGGAGTCAAAATTAACGATATAGTTATAGCCACATAGTATGCCGTGTCGTTATGAATGTAGATCCATCCGAATGAACCCATATTGTAGACAACCGTCACGAGTGGTGTGCAACATAGGATGAACACACTTGCACCCAACATGATGGAAATTAAGCAAAGAATCTGAAATTAAACGGTGTCAAGTGAAGAACTCGAGAGTGCTGAATAAACACAGTGGCCTGCACAATGGGTTGCATTCATAAGATTCCGAAGAGATTACAGTGAAAATTTCACATAGAGTTGAAGCAGATTTATCTTGGAAAAAACGCTAATAGAGAAATGCTGCTTTCCTTCATTTGCCTTAGCGGGAACGAGACTGAAATAGTAAACGCAATGATTTTTTTTCGTGAAGACGTTAGGTGGTCAGGAAATAATCAGATTTATTTTCTAGTCTAGAAATGTTCATCACGTTGAAGTTCCCTAGGCGCTGTTCTAATGCTCAACCGTTCCGCAATAGATTAGCTTATTCCCATTATCACGGTCATTATCAGTTGCTATTACTGTCATAAAGATGATGGTAATATTTCAGCTACCATGGAATAAAACCTTGTTTCATTATCACTCCGAGCAGCCCAGAAAAAATGAGTTGAGGAGACTGTGTCAGAAAAGCGATTGCAAAATCAGTCAACTATACAAGGTACAACTAAATTGAATCCCGCTGCAGTGACCCATAATGAGGAAAACAATATTAAGTAGAGAAAAGAGCATCAGAATAATGGTGAAAATGGCATCGTCAATGAATGCATGATACCTGACATATAACTTTTATGAGTTTTGTAAAGAAATTGTTATTGATCACTACTATAAGCCTATTAATGGATAGCACAAACACCAGGCAATTCATAGTGATCCAGCTTGCTTCAACAGTTGCTCCAAACACCTGCATAAGAAACTGATTCAAATCAAAAGCAGATTCCAAATTCACTTCAAGCATCTGAGCGAATCATCCTCGCTGGATTTTCAATGGAGTTTAGCTGGGCTTCAACATGAAAGTGGACTGGCTTCACGGAAATCCTGGTCTGTGAATGCAGAACTTAGTAGTCCCTGAGGAACACTCGAAACTTTTCGGAGGTCCAGATTTCATTCCACTTTTTCGGTTCTTGACGTTCATGTTCAGTTTTTTTTAGAGTTCTGGAAGCCAGAATCACTGGTTCTTTTCGACGTGAACTCTAAAATTTTCATAAATTGCTGTGTATAAGCGCACACAGGTATACTTGAAGCTGATCTGCTCGAATTAACATCGGATTTGAAATTAAGCTCACACTTAAGCTCATGCATATGCTCAAGTTTACCATAGGCCAGATTTCCTCCAAATTTTTCGGTTCTTTGTCATGCCACTCACCTTCGTTTCGCTACGTTCACCTTGGCCATATATTGTCCAAATGCCAGCCGTAAAATCGACCATCAAATGAATGAAGTCAATTATATGAACGCATAGCATTATAAGGCTGCATTGCGACTGTCGAATATTTTTCTCACGACAAATCGCCTAAAATATTCAGAAAAAAATGCCGAAATCTGTCACGCAATCATAACGATTAGCCTAAATTTATTTGCCAGTGGGATGCTGCTACGATGTTAGCGAGACCGTTTGTGATCACAAACAAAACACCGAATTCGTGACTGAAAATGTCGAAATTTCAGAAGGAAATGTCGATATACCGAATTGAAACATCGGAAGTTTCAAGTTAACTGTAGAAATTGCCAACAAAATACTGATTGTGAGATATAATATTTCAAGCTTGCAATGGGAACAGGAAGGCTTGGTTAGTGTGATAAGGAAACGAGACTTAACTGGAAAACTCATGTTCGCCAGGTAATTTTTGTGTCAATCTCGAAACGATACTAATCGTACACACCATAATCTTTTCCTCCCTCCACCACCCTCTCCTCATGCACTATTGATCACTGTTGCCCTTCTGATCTATTCACTGCTTTCAGAATGTTAAGGTGACCGACCGATCAGTAATGGATCATCAAAGACCTACCACAATCACCGCAATCGACGGTGGAATTAACAGAAAATTTATTGTCGTCCAAATGCACCCGAACACGATTCTCAACGTGACGGTCACTTCGTAGTCGGTCGTAGAGGAAACCATTGCGGTGGATTATCGTCTAATCAGTAAAACGAGAAATTTGTTGAAGTGATATTTTGTAGTGGTGAGATTTTTCACTGAAATGAACACAAGTTTCGATTTGTGCTTGACACGGACAAATAGGTTGAAGAAAGTATAACGCTCGGAGACGGTAAGTATTAATATTAGAGATAAATGCGACCATATGAATGTGAGCGGCCGAAACAGAGCTGCGACCAGACAAGCTGTTAACCCAGGCCTCTCCATAAGAGAGGAATTTACCCATTTCTGGGTAATTTGAAGGTGTCAGTGGATAATGGGGGGGGGGGTCTGGAATCTACTTCTGACGTTATGAGTGGAAATAGTTAGTTAGTTATTGTAGCCGGAAAGGCACTAATGATGGCCTGTCAGACCATCGAAAGAATGAGCGTCTAGAGCATCCGAGATGGGAGCCACTACGTTAACCTAAATCAACACCGAACCTACTCAAATGCAATAAATGCCAGCATATAATTAAGGTACTTATACTACTTTCACTCAAATTTAATGCATTGTTCAGTTGATTTATTCTATTTTGCCGTCATCATCTTGCATATTTACATTTGCGTTAGGGTTGTATGAGAGCAGAGGAGTTTTGCAGCCGAAATGAAGCCATCAAACACTCAAGCAAAAACAATATCACCAATCAAGTGCGGTAAAATTGTTCAGATGTTCAGAAACAAACGACTGCGCGGCTTAAAGCAGTTTAGAAAACTGAATGAATTGTTCAGCTAAATGCACGAGATGTGGAAACGCCTCTTTGCATTTATTTGCTAGAAATGAATGTGTGATTTTGTTGCATAAAAAAGCCGAATCAGTGAGATACTGTCCATAGTTCAGGACGAGTGCTTGTGCTGAATCCGTAGAATGTGAGTGAGCCATTTTTAAGCACTTTTCACCTTTTAACTCAAAACTGCACATACGTCAAAGGATCTCAAGAGACTTGCCTACGTAATTGAAAGCGAGCTCACCTAAATGAATTCAAATTATTTGATGAAAGAAACCGTCATGAGGCGCGCTTATTAGTTCTAGATCATACTTTTTTAGTTCAACTAATTTTCAACAGAACTGCGATATTTGCATGTCTTTTTTTTTAGATATATTTCATAAGAGATGACATTAGGGTTCGAAAGCTAGATTTTCAATTTATTGTACCTAAAATACGAAATCCATTTTTTCCAAAACA